CCCCCCGGGGACCGGCCAGGGGCCCGACCCAGCCAGCCCTGCTGCTGCGGGTGCCACGAGGGAGAGACTTTTGACGAGACCCACCCACTGTTTTGTTTTCAAAGGAGAGCATTTACCCGAAATTTGCATTCCCTTGGCGGGGCAGAGCCCTCTCTTGTTAGCGAAGCTCCACCGAATAGGCCACGTAAATTTGGTCGAGTTGGGACCTTAAATTGGAAAACAAGATGTGAAAGTACGCTCCAATCAACCTTTACTGTTTGTAGAGGACAGCTATGTGGGTAAGAAATGCAGGGCAAATGAATGAAAAGTTGGCATGAGGGGGAGGGCTGGACGACTAAAGAGGAAGGTTAGATGGGCATTCACAGCCCACCCCCCCCAAGTGTCCCATTATGGGATAGAATTTGTGCCTATTATTAGAGTCTGGGGTCCCTCGTGGGTGCCAAACATGATCTAAATGTACAAAGCACTACAGTTACATTATAAAGTGAGTACCTCGGAGTGCCACGCCTCATCCGTGAAGGGGCAGTTCATCATTCTAGAATCAGATCATAGGTGGTAGTGCTGGACAGACCAGGTGTGAATCCTGCCTCTGCTACAGCCAACTGTGACCTTGGGGGAGTTACTTGGCTTTTCTGTGCCTCAGTTTCTTCTTCTGTACTATGGGGCTGGTAATGATGGCGATGATGATGATGATGATTGCACTTGTACCTCCTAGGATTGTTTTGAGGACTAAATGATTATATGTATGTATATACACATATGGCTTAGAGTGGTATGTGGTACATAGTTCAATGTACGTGAATATGTTATACTTATAAAATTCCTTCTCTAACATGTTTGAAATTTGCTATAACTATATAAGATTAATTTTCAAGGCTACTTCTTCAGTCTGTTTCTTTCTAGATGCTCTGCCAGTCATTTTAGTTGCTACCAATAGACACACTGTAGGATGTGGATGTAATAACAAATGTGCCCAAAGATTTTGCAGGGATATTCATTGGAGGGTGACATACAGTGAGTACTGGAAACAACCGAAATTCTAACCGTAGGGGACGAAGTAAATTATAGGACATCCAAGCAATCTTGTTATAAGCAGCCATTTAAAATAATTTATAGTAAGATAATAAAGGCATAATAATGTCTATTAATTAGATAGGAGATGGGTCAGCAAACTATGGCCCTAAAACCCAGCCTACTGCCCATATTTGTACAAACTCTGAGCTAAAAGTGTTTACATTTTTTAATGGTTGAAAAAATCAAAAGACGAATAATATTTCATGACAAGTGAAAATTATATGAAATTCAAATTCAGTGACCGTAAAGTTTAATTGGAACCAGCCACCTCATTCATTTATAGCTGCTTTTATCCTACAAAGGCATCATTGAGGGGTTGCAACAGAAACCATATGACCCTGCAAAGCCTTAAATATTTATTTGACCCTTCACTGAACAATTTTACTGACCCTGATATAGAGTGCCAGGCGCTGTTATAAGCGATTAAGCTCTATTAAGCCATTGAATCTTCACAATGGGCCCTATGAAGAAGCAGTTACTGTTTTGATCTCCATTTTATAGATGGGAAACTGAAATAACAGAGAGGTTGAGTAGCCTGCTCAGGATTACACAGCTGAGCCAGGATGTGAACCAGACAGCCTGGTTTCAAAGCTTGGACTCTCCTTCACTACACAGTTTCTGCCACCTTCTAACTCTAGGCATATACTGTCTCCCATGGAAAGATGTTAAACAGAAAAAGTAAGTGACAAGGGTGTGTAGAATATTACAAACCACCCAGGATGGAAAGATTCTCAGCACTATTTGAAAACGAATATGATGCAAGGCGGTAACTTGCACAGAAGGATAGAATGAAAAGGACAAAATATAGGGCAGCCTGTCTTCTCTGCATAACTCTGGCTAGCACATCTTAGATTGACATAAACTGTTATTTCTGCCTTTATTTCTTGATGGGGCATCCTAGTGTGCTTTTACGATTTGGGCAAAAAAATGATGAGATTTCAGAATTCAGATTGAATAAATTTTGTGAGAATAAAACAAGATTTGAGGCCCCGGGCAGGG